GTTCTGCATGCTCCCTTTGCATATGCTATGTCCTTTGCCAAACAGACTCCTCCCCACTCTGCTCCACCCCACTCCTCCAGCCCAAGCTCCTTCCGGTACATTTTGTTAGCCATGTCCGTGGTGTTGGGCACACTCCCTTTTGAACACTGCGCTCACCCTGTAGCATTGCATGGAATTAACCTCATCCTAACCCATGTGCACACACACACGCACAGAGACTGTAAGCCCTATTAGGACAGGGACCTGGGTTGCTTTTGCTCACTGTGACATCCCTGAAACTCACCCACAGAAGGAGCTGAACCAATGCTTATTGGATGAGTCACGGCTGAGGGAACAAAGCCAGGCGCCTTCCTGGTTTGGCGTTGGTGATCACATACCCTGGTTTGCTTCGGGAGACCCGGTGTTCACCTGTCATCCTTGTATAATAATTATATCGTCCCTGCCTATTCATGCTCAAGTATCCCAATTCAGTGACATGTCGTATGATCAGCCCAGTCACTACAAAGGTGCAGAAGGGTTTGATCCCAGCGTTCTGTTTTTTTCAGCCAGTCCACTTTAGTTCCTGCAAAAAAAAAAGACCAATGCTTCTTCTTCCTGAGATATTTTTCTTAGTTTAATATTCTCCTCACATTGTCCCCCCAACTCCCACAAATACATGAATTCTGTTTGCAGAAGTGTCCTCCTGGCGGGTTGCCATGGTAACCTAATGATGTCACTAACCTGGAAACAGTTGCCTAGGAAATGAATGATGTCACTTCCAGGAGACGATTACCATAGTAACCATCTCGGTGAAGCTGGGGGGGAGGGCGGGTGGCCAGGGAAACGAAGAGAGTGGAGGGCGGATGCAGAAGGGACAAATGCAAAGAGCGGAAGGAAAGGGGGAGGGGACAAGAGTACAGTTTAAGGCCAGGAAGAGGACGGGGACCATCCCAGAGCAATGGAAAAGAACAGTCTCAGAAATGGAGAGGGTCCCAGGGACTGCCAAAAGCAACAACTTCATTTATTTTATTTTTTATTTTTTGATTGGACTGGGGTTGGAACTCAGGGCTTCACACTTGCAAAACAGGCGCTCAACCGGTTGAGCCTCACCTCCACTCCATTTTGCTCTGGTTATTTTGGAGATGGGGTCTCATGAACTATGTGCCTGGGCTAACCTTGAACTGAGATCCTCCCAATCTCAGTCTCCCAAGTTGTTAGGATTACAGGCATGAGCCACTAACACCGGCAACAACTTTCCTTTTACAGAGGCCACTAAGAGGCCAAGACTCAATCAAGGTCACAATACCAGCTTATAAGTGATGGTAGAACCAAGCTTTCAGTTTTTTACATGGCTCATCGGTGGACTTGGGTGGGGGAAATGTAAGATTCTTTTTGTTCTTTTTTTTTAAAAATTCTGGCCTCAGATCAATCAATCATGAGTTCAACAAATTCTTATTAAGAGTGGAGTACCAGGCCTGGAGAGGAACTGGAGTGACATTTTCCCTTTTATCTTTTTATTCTATCTTCACCACTGAGGTGTTAGCTCTATAAGCGTACAAGGCTCCAATCTCAGTCAGTTCAAGGTATCTCCAGGTGCATTTTGGGAAATGAACTCAACACCCCCAACCTTTTGGAGCTCCTGCTGTGATTGGTGCTATCCAGATGGAGGTGGAGAGACAAGTACAATAGTAAGTACAGAAATAATAGTGATAATATAATAACAACAACAAAGACTGACACAAAGTCAGTCTTTTGAACCCAGCAGTTCAAAGGGAAGAAGAGGCTTCTGTGCAGGTCAGAAAATTCCTAAGAGTATTTCATTAGGACTTAAAGGAACAATTTCACTTGTATAGGATGCCAAATTAGAGGATTAGGGACAGAGGTAAAGAGACAACCCATTGGTATATTTCAATTGATATCTTTTCTCTAGAAAAGATCAAACTACTCATGCTGCAGTGAAAGAGCTTTGTAGTAGGACAGCCTTGTGTTTTTTGAGAGACAAGGTCTAGAGATATTGCCCAGGCTTGGCCCTGAACTCTTGGACTCAAACAGTCCTCCTGCTTTGACCTTCCAAGTAGCTGGGACTACTCAGGTTTTTGCTTGTTTGCTTTGGTGGGACTGGGGTTTGAACTCAGGGCTACCTGCTTGAGCCACACCTTCAGTTCATTTCACTCTGGTTATTTTGGAGATGGAGTCTTGAGAACTATTTGCCCAGGCTGGCCTCAGACCTCAATCTTCCCGATGTCAGCCTCCCAAGTAGCTAGGATTGTGTAAAGGTGTGAGTCACCGGGCTCCAGCTAACAAGCCAAGTTTTTTGGGTTTGGCTTGGTTTGGTTTTGGCAGTACTGAAGTTTGAACTCAGGGCCTCTCACTTTGTTAGGTAGATCCTCTACCACTTGAGCCATGCCGCCAGCCCCAACTCATTTTGATCTCAGCTTTACCTCTTACGAGTCATGTACCTTAAATTACATGTCTGAGACCTGGTTTCCCCGTTAAAAATATGAATATTCTTACCTTCCAGGGTCACTAAAGACTGAGACAATGCACATCAAGTACCCTCAATATAGTATTTGAAATGGTGGTTTTCATCAGGCACCCTAATGAATGGGGCTTTCTAACTGAAATTTATCCATTAAGTACCACCGGGTGTTGAACCTTGAATCAATGTTGATGTTGTCTGCCTGGCAGTTGGGTGTTCTGAGAACTGAGGACCCTTCTCAGTTTCTGTATGGCCTACAGCAGCCTCCAAGGGTGTGTGGGAGAACATGCGAAGGCCTGACAGTTCAAATGCAGCCTACTTTATCTTAGAGCCAAGAAGAACCCCAAGTTCTCTGATCCAAGTGATTTAAGATAACCAAGTATTTACGTAACAGTAACTCCATCATCTAGACTCCTACCTCCTTCCCCCAACTCAACGAAATTAATGTTTATTTAAGGAGCTATTAGAAATCTGAATAGCACCGACTTAAACATCCCTTTCCAAGCACAATTATTTACCTTTTGAAACAGGGTCTTGCTGTGTAGCCCAGGCTGTCCTCAAACTTGGGATCCTACCAACTCAGCCTTCTGAGTGCTCGGATTACAGGCATGTAGTGTCATGAGCAGCTACTTTAATTTCTAAATGAAAATATCAGAAGTACTGAAAGCAGGCTGGGCACGTAGCTCAGTGGCAGAGCACATACGAGGGCATGTGCAAGAGCCCTGGGTTTGGTCCCCAGCAGTGGGGTACACTGAGGGGGAAGGCGCTGGAAGTGTCCCCAGAATAGGACATGACTCATTTTTCTTTTTCTTTTTTTTCCTAGTCTCAGCCCAAAGAACATGGCACAATGAAAAGAACAATGAGCAAGGATGGGAGGTTTGAATGCTATCGTAGGCTGTCTCTATTTCTACTGTGACTTTAAAGAGCTGTTTCATTTCCTTGGACAGAAGGTTTCCTTCTGTAACACTGAGATGACCCTTTAACTTTCATAAATTTATCTTGACAGGACAAACTTCAAGATGTTTTAAGTATAGAAATAGAAGGAAAACTTCATCTGGCAGTAGAGAAGTCTCCCAGGTTTACACAACATCCCAAACCCCATTTATTACTGGTGGGGCTAACTTTGTGTATCCCTGCTTTCCCACACCCTACTCCCTATGAAGGTGCCTCATACACAGTGTTAATATATAATAAAATCCCATTCTTGAAAAAATAAGGAACCTGTGCCTCAAAAGTGGTGTGGCTTACCAACACTGCCCAGAGCCTTCGTGGCATTTCTGTGCTCAAACCCACTAGAGGATAGCTCCATCTCTGACTTACAAGTCTTAGATGGAGGCTGTCCTCTGTGTCTTATCAACTATGTGAATTCTAGAAGTTATCAACCTTGTTCCTCAGCTTCCTTATCTAACACGTGGGGAAAAATCCTTTCAGAAGATGAATGCAAAAGGAAAATGCAAAGGCAGGACATGGTGGTGCATACCTGTAATCCTAGCACCCAAGAGGCTGAGGCAGGAGGATCATGAGTTCAAAGCCAACCTGGACTACATACTGAGATCCTGCCTTTAGAAAAAAAGAAGTTCTTTGGCAACTAGGAAGGACACTTCAAACGTAAGAGCAAATCTTTTTTTAATTGCTCAGGCTGGCCTTGAACTAGGGATCCTCCTGCCTCAGTCTTCCAAATTCTGGATTACAGGCCTGTACCACACTTGGCCCTGAAGAGCAATTCCGTGTCTCCGTGTTCATCTTAGGTTGTATGCAACTGTCACAACAAAACCTATTTTATAAAAATATGTAGTTTTTAAAAACCCAAGTGTCTTAGCTACATAAAGCTTGTGGCTTTAAACACCTATCTCCCAACTGAAGTGAAACTCAAGTTTCAGTTTAAAATCGGCCATTTCAAATGGGTTCTTATTAACACCTGGGGAGGGGACCATACCTCTACCTCTAAGTGAGAAAGGTCAAACTTCCATGCTTAAGTGTCCTGTGCTCCACAACAGTGTAAATTCAAGGACAAGAGACTGGGTCATGGCATTTCCATCAGTCTAGTGTCAGGCTTTAGCCAAGAGTAAAATGTCTGACTTCTGTGAACCTGAGCCAATCCACTTGGCCATGTTTGACCTTAGGTACCAAACTGGAGGTAATAAAAATTATGAGGCTGGAAACCACGTGGCTCCAGATGCAGGTGCAAACACATGGTGGTGCTTGAGCCTCAAGTGACACCTTGGGATGAAGCCCAGGGAGAGAATTTAAGGGGCTGAGCTTCAAAAAAAAAAAAAAAAACTCAAATTCACATTTTTCATTTTAAAGAACTTACAACTTTCCTAACGTGGGTCAGAAAGACTATGTCAGCCAGGTTCACAGAAAACTGCTTAAAACCCGTGAGCCTTATGTGTGGGGTGCAAAATACATAATGGAATCAGAAAGCAGGGAAGTTCAGCTACCACACTACCAATGCTTCCACGTCTGAGTGACTGCAACGACTCCGAATGATGACACAACAGCTACGAGGGAGAGGAAAAACCGAGGCCACACGAAGAGGTAGTATCCCCAAAGGAGCATTTATTTACCCTTTGAATTCCAAAACATTTATTTTAGAAGTCTGGCATTTCATAAACACCCATCTTGATTGACATGGGCTGACACATGTGCTGTCAGGATACACAAGGACAATAGCCAAAGAGTTACAAAAAATAAACTCATGATTCTTAAAACAACTGCAACTAAAAAAAAAAAAGTTACACGTATCAAAACTTTCGACGCATTGCATTGAAAAGAAGGTTTGTGCACGTCATAATTTAGAGGCAAAACAAGGCGCTACTGAAACCTCACGTTACAGTTTATTATAAAGCGATGGAAAGGAGCGCGTGGTCTCTGTATCAGCTTCCCTTAACAGTTTTCCATTAGCTGAAGAAAGAGGTTGGGGGCGTTGAATTCATTTTTGCATGCACAAGATGTACTGCTTAACGAAATACTATCAGCTTGTTTTAAATATCAACCACAGCCTGTGCTGGCTAGTTCTCCTTTCTACACTCAATTGCTTTCGCCTGGATTTTCCACAGATCAACAGGCATAGTAAAATGCCTCATTCAGAATACACTTCTCTGCACGATTCCAAAAGGGAGCTCCTGTGGGCTCGAAGCCACTGTCAGTCCAGCAATGCCCAAGGCTTATGTGAAACTGCTTCCCAAGGGATGGGAGAGCAGCTCTGAGTAGCTGTGCTGCGAGACAGATAGGTTTAGCACTAGATACTGAGTGATGGTGGCGAAGAAGAATCAGTGATGAGGGGAGAGGGTGGGGGAGGGCCGGGGCGGGGGAGGCCTTCAGTTGCCTTCTCCTGCTTCCTCGTCCTGCTGGTCGCTCGTCCACAGGGTGAGGTTGTCTCGCAGCAGCTGCATGATGAGCGTGGAGTCCTTATAGGAATCCTCGTTTAACGTGTCCAGCTCAGCTATGGCGTCGTCGAAGGCTTGTTTGGCTAAGAGGCAGGCCTGCTCGGGCGCGTTCTGGATCTCGTAGTAGAACACGGAGAAGTTGAGGGCCAGGCCCAGCCGGATGGGGTGTGTGGGCTGCATGTGCTCCTTGCTGATCTCAAAGGCCTCCTTGTAGGCTGCCTCAGAAGCTTCCACCACACCATTTTTCTTCTCCCCAGAGGCCACCTCTGCCAAGTAGCGGTAGTAATCGCCCTTCATCTTCAGGTAGAACACCTTGCTCTCGTACTGGAAATCATTGCAGTTCTTGATGAGGAACTTGTCAAGCAGAGCCAGGACATCGCTGCAAACCGTCTCCAGCTCCTTCTCAATCTTCTCCCGGTAGGCTTTCACTTTCTCCAGCTTCTTTTCATTGCCGTCAGCCATGGTTTTCTGCTCAATGCTACTAATGACCCTCCAAGAAGACCGCCTGGCACCAACCACATTCTTGTAGGCCACAGAGAGGAGGTTTCGATCTTCATTGGAGAGAGGTTCATTCAGCTCTGTCACCTGCAACACCCCAAACAAACAAACATTGAGGGCCACATCTGGACACTGCATCATCAACAATCCTTCCCAAAAAGTTTTTACTGGGCCAAACCAGTAAAGACATGGATCCTATCTGAAGGAAGGCTGCAGTGTGAGATAAATACTTTTGCAGCTTAAAACTGCAAGTGATAGGGTCTTGAGAAACTCCTAATTCAAGTCTTACATAAAATGTTGCTTTCATGTTGGTAGAGGAATGAGGACAAGAACAATCACAGAAAGGCTGTAAAGCAGTGGGCATGATGGCGAGGAAGAAAACCTTGAAGATTTGCCTGGTGTACTCACTCCCCAGATCCTCCCAGCCCTCCCCCAAGCCAAAATGAACAATCCATTTGTAAATCCCACAGCCTCTGCTGAAAGGAAGCAAAGCCACTTAGCAACCATCTTACTCTGACCTACAAGAATCAAATGGCCCTGGAGTTCGGAAGCACTAATTACTTTAAGTGGAAAAGTTAAACTTCAGCAGTTGTAACTTCTCTTAGCTTTCTATGGTGCTATACATAGAGCATCAGCCTTTGCTGTGGGTTGAACCACGTCCTAACCTCTGGTACTCACAAATGTGACTATATTTGGAAGTAGGCTCTTTGCAGATACAATTACTTCAGGTGGAAGTGGTAAGTCCAATGACTGTCCTTACATGGAGAGTGAGATTTGGAGACAAACAGATATACAAGCACAGAATACCATGTGACAACAGAGGCAGAGACTGGAATGATGATGGCTGTGAAAGCAAAGAACACCAGGAGTTGCCGGAAGCCAAGAGAAACTAAGAGAGGCTGAGAAGGACTCTCCCATGGGTCTTGGGAGGAAGCATAGCCTTGCTAACACCTTGACTTCAGAGCTCCAGCCTCAGAAGAAAACCTTCCTGTTGCTTTAAGCCAGTAAATTGTGGTACTTTGTTCAACAGTCCTAGGAAACTAATACAGACTGAAAACACAAAGCCCTGGTCTAGAGCCCAGCAAAATCACTAGCTTGCTAAACTGACCCAGGTAGGACATTTTAGGATCTTCCAAAGAGCTTGTATCAGAACAAAGTAAAGGGGTTCCTTAACAACCATTGGTAAAGGTCTTTAATTTTAATTTTTAAAGTTTTTTTCTTTTTCTTAACATATAATTATTGTATAAAAGGGTTTCATTGTGGTATTTGCCTACATGCATAAAATACTTTGATCAAATTCACTCCATCTGCTCTTTCTTATCCCCCCAACATCTCTAATTTAAAAAAAAAGAAAAAAAAGCAAAGCACTTAGGTATTACTTAAATTGAACAAGGACAGAACTTCCACCAATGGATGGGAAAAGTTAAGTTCAATGGAGAGTCCCCAAGAGCAAATTCAAATAGACATGCTTAAGATGGACTGAGAAGACTGAGAAGAAAGTCAGAAACTGTAAACAATGACGGCTTATTTGGGGAATTAGTGAGTCAAGATCACTAGCAACAAATGTAATCATTGTATGTAAAAATTAGAAAACTTGGGCCAGTTCTTACAAAGTGAAAGAGCAGTTGTCTGAGTCCCCTCTCCCCCTAAACCCCAGACAAAATAAAATACACCAGCTCCCTCTTCCAACCATTTCCCTTTGCCCAGAACCCTACTCTTGCTGTACACCCTCAACACAGGTTTATGTCTATCCTCTTGTGCCTACTCAAATCCACCAAACCCCACTTCTCTCTTCAGTGGTCTCCGACCTCCACGCCAGTGCCTCACTCCTCTTCATACACACTAGTAGTCACTGAGATCTGCCCCAATCCAGGGCAATCTTCTACTAATCCAAGGTCCAAGTTCCCTTTGAATCCAGTTGTGACTCCCACCTCCACCCCCACTCCCAAGCTTTCTCCTGCAGGAAGCATTTACTCACATTTGCCCATTGGCAAGACAAAGAGACTCTGTAAATAGCTGTTTAATAATTTAGTCTTTTAAGGAAGCAACTCTTCTACATCAAAATCCCATCTTACTCTGACAAACGTCAAAATGTTTGAATCCTGCAGAATGACTCACTGTTCTAGGGCAATATTCAATAAAACACAAGGCAAGAACAGAATTTGAAGAGCTACTCAGATCGCAATAATTAAATCCAACTAAGACCACTTGACATTAAAATGCGTAAGAAGTCACAGGATACTCCGTCCTGTGACTAATAAAGCTGCTTTTGTTAGACTGCCACAAAGACACGCCAAGGTATCATCCCAGAGTACATCATCAAAAGGGAGAGCACATCTAAAGTACATTTATGTATCATACAGCTTGTAGAAGAGCAAAGTAATCATTAAAACCTAAGACATCTGGAGTTTAATCTGACCTAGCCATGTGACTGCAAACAAATCACAACCTTTTGGGACGTCAAAAATAAAAGAAAGAAGCCAGGCACAGTGGCCCGCACCTGCAATCCCAGCCACTCTGGAAGATGAGGCAGGAGGATAGCAAGTTCAAGGCCAGCCTAGGGCTACACTGAGTCCCTGTCTCAAAAACAACAAAATGTTTTAAGTAAAATAAGCCAAACTAAGCCCCAAGGCCTCTCTTAGCTCCAGTATTTCTCCTGAGCAGCAATGAAAGGGTGGTGAGGCACAGGTATCTCTCAGTCTGAGGCATTCATGTGAGCACGCTCCTCCATCTGGAATAAACTGCCAAAAAAGGCTACCGGGCAACGCTTTCGATGACACCTTCACAAGAAAAATCATTTACTAGGACTGCTAATGTTTGCGTAACGGTCATCTGGTTGCCTGCCAGTCTGCGTGAATCACTATGGACATCAGCTGAGGGTGACTAACACAATGAAGCAAACAAACATTATTCTGAGAACCCCAGCCAGAGACCAACTAGAAAATAACCGGGGACGCTTAAATACAGTATTTTTAATACTCCTGGGTCGTAACTCACTTAACAGAAGGAAACTTACAGAGTGAGTTTACTACTTCATCAGGTAACTAAAGAGAATTGACTTTTCCCCAGATTATATAGACCCAAAAAATCACATGGCCCGTTAAAAAAGACCTGCAGCTAGTCCTGACTGGTGACACTGCTTGCAAGTAAACTCCACCAACATTAGTCAGCACTAGCTGCCAACACTTTAATTCCAAAATACAGGAGCCAGGAGAACTAACAGAAGTCTCTGGGAGCAACGCACTGCCGGATGGCCACCTGCAGGACCTACAGCCATAGGCTTCCAAACTGTTCCTAACTGAGAAGGCCCAGCCAAGACACGGAATTTGATATGGAAGAGATCGAGGCCCAAATTCCTAACCTTCCTTCCACTCCAACTCCAGGGTTACAGTACTCACTCCCACTGCACATAAGCTGCGCTTGGCATGGCCACAGACCGCCTCAAGGGGTCTGCCCCACCTCTCCTCATAGCCCTTCTGCCTTCTGGCTCTCCTGCCCATCCCATTTAATCCTACCAACTAACACACTTTCTGAAAACCTTCAACTGACCGACCATCCCATTTCTAAAGGCCCTCCTCCACATTTCTTTTAAGAACTGGACTCAACTGTTAGTCATTTTATTGATGTCTTTACCACACAGCCTTGGGCTATACCAGCTCTCAACCCCAGACACCCTACACTCATTTTCTCTGCTCTGGGAGCATTTCAGAATTACTGAAAGTTACAAATAACCCAGCCTGCTGCTAATTCATTTATCTTCCTGTGACACCACTGGCTTACTCGAAAATCCCCCCCGGGGCCTCCTCCCACTACTCACAGGCAAGACTGTGAGTGGTGAGTAAAAATAGATCCACTGCCAAAAATAGAGCAGTGACTATTTAGGAAAACTTAAAAGTTCTTAATCTGGGAGACACAGGCCATTAAAAGTAAGTGAACAAACAAAAATGCCACCTGAGCTGCCACACACCTACATGGCCATTGTCCCATCCTCTACAATCACACACTACCAAGCCGCTTGCTTCTGATAAAAGTTTATAACATAACACTTCTCACAATTAGATTAACAAAACCCCAACACAAGATCTTTAGGCTTCTATGGCAGAAACCTGTATATGCCAAGAAAGGAAAGGAGGGAGGAATGGAGAGAAAGCTAGGGAGAGAGGGAGAAAGAGAGAGAAAGGGAGATCTGAAAGCTTTACTGGCTGACTTTCTGAAATTAATGCCCAGGAAGTGAGGTCCTGCTTGACCCCAGGCCGACAGGCCACTCCCTAAAGGCCACGGTGCATAATCATTGCCAGCAGGGCAAGGCTGCAGTTCCTTTAGGCCACAAGACAAGCTAAACTTCAGACTCAGAACAGACAAGGCCAGGTAATAAACATCCACTGTAAGATTAATGGTGGACAAATAAAAACAGCTCCTCTCATATTAAGACAGTCTTTATCTTGCTTTTGACATCATCAAACATTTTCGTAGGGATTGGCAGGGATTAAATACAACCCCATCTGAATGAACTACTGCATGCTACTGTCTTGGAGGCACCAGGACTGGCAGCGTCAGAGGCAGTGCCAGGTGCTTCTGATCCCAATAAGTGCCGACGCCCACCGCCAAAGGGAATGCCAATGCAGCAAGGGGCAGAATGGAAAGAGCATCGAAACGCTGGCAGTAGGCAGGCTGCCTCTACGGGGACCCGGGGAATTTTACTAGCAACCTAAGGACTGAGATTTTGGGGTCTGTAGGCTAACAGTAAAGCCAAGATGGAGATGCAACTGGAGCTAAGGATATAAAACAATTTCTAGTTAAGATTTAACACAATTCTGCACTTAATTCATAGCCCGGACTCAAATTCAATCAATACCTCAGTTAAAAAATACTCCTGGCCTTCAGAACAAGCAAAATCCAAATCTGAGTATTTCTCTAACACTTGTATAATACAGCTAAGACTCAAAGTGGCAGATTCTGTTTTTAATCAAACTTGATGGCTTATATCCAATTAAAATTATTTAGTAAGCCTACCACTTGTTTAAAGTAACTGGAATCTAGTCACCAATGAGGACTATGGTTAATGTACCAAAATGTCTACTAGAAAACTATCCCTGAGCCTCAGGGGACATGCTACATGACAGCTCTAAATTCAAGAGTGCAAATTTTGGCTTCACAACTTAGGCCGTTTGATAGTGAGAAAAATCACCCTTTGTCTCGTTTGTAAAATGGAGCTACAAACAGATGTTCAGACTCAATGAGGGCTGGAAGAGTGGCTCAAGTGGTAAGAGTGCTTGCCTAGCAAATGTGGTCCTAAGTTCAAAACCCAATACTGCAATTAAAAAAAAAAAGAATAAATGAAGGGCCGAGGGGGCAGCTCAGTGGTAGAGCAAGGGTTTAGCATGCACAGGCCATGGGTTTGATCCCAGCACCAAATTAAAAAAAAAAAAAACCAGTAAGACGGGCTGGCAGAGTGGCTCAAGTGCTAGAGTGCCTGCCAGCAAGCAGAGGCCCTGAATTCCAACCCCAGTATTGCCAAAAAAATTAATGAAACAAATGAGAATGTACACATGGAGTAACAGCTACCATTTATTGGGTACCTAGTAAGTGAAATAATACAGTCTACAAACTTACTGAACGTCACATGCCAAGCACTCAGGAGCCCTCCCCAGCCACACGTCTAAGGGAATGTGTAGCGCTACAGTCTACCACTAATAAAAAATCCCAATGATGAGGGTAACACATTTTTGCCTTTTGTAAGGAAGCAAGTGTGGGGTTCCTAATGGTGGAACCCAAATGCAATGTCAGGGCAGCAAAACTGTCTTTGTGCTGGGGACCAAAGTGAGGGCTGTGAAGACTGTGCCACTGGGCTACACCCTGAACTATCAAATTCAAATTGTGACAAGAGTAATTCAGGGTCTTCTTCGTTCCTTAGCCCATAAATGATGGAGAAATAACTGCATTTCAAATGACTGGTTACTAGGAAACAGGGCTCCCTAGTTCGTGTGTATTCCAAATAGTACCAATGTGAGAAAGACTTCATACTAACCACAATTTTGTTACCCCTCAAAAATCACCCTTGAACTGGACCACGTGGATCACGTCCCAGCCTGGGCCACTTGGCGGTGCCCTCCTCTCACACACCACCTGCTAGCCTCCCCACTACCACATCTCACAGCTGTTGGAAAAAAGCCTTCTGTCCCTGGTCAGGCCAAGTGCCTCTTCCTCTCTGACTCCTATTTCCTTAAAAGCGGTTTTGTTTCCTGCACTTACGATTTCTATAGATATTTAAGCCCTTCAGACATTTTAACTTGTCCTGTCAGCTGTGTAGCAATGCTAAAACACTCCATGTTACCCTGTACCATTTTGACATCTTAAAACTTCATGATTACCACCTATTTTCTCATATAAATGCCTTAGGGCAATAGAAGACCTGACTGAGTTATGTCCACCCAGGAATATTCACTGGAAATCTATCTGCTATTTTCCTTCTTTCCTGAAACCACTTGTGTTACCTTTTAATCCCACTTTGCAAGTTTTTTTTTTTCTGCAGTACTGAGATTTGAACTCAGGACCTACACATTGAGTCACTCCACCAGCCCTTTTTTGTAAAGCGTTTTTTGTTTTGTTTTTGAGATAGGGTCTCGGGAACTATTTGACCAGGCTGGTTTCAGAACACCACCCTCCTGATCCCTGTCTCCTGAGTAGCTAGGATTATAGGGATGAGCCACCAGCACAAGGCCCCACTTTGCAAGTTTATTTCAGGTGCTCCTAAAATGGCATCATACCCATTTTCCACAGTTATGAATTATGTAAGGTCATTCAACACCTGATCTGGAAAGGAAGTGGGGTCTACAACCTTTCACCATGTTTCTTCACATACGATGCTCCGTGTAAGCTACTAGGTATAAAGCAGGGAGAGCTTGAAGATGAGGCATGAAACTTCTCTTCAGGAATACCTCTTGCCTTTTCAAACTATGAGGTGAGGCAGTGAACTGCAGTCCTCAGCATCACTGTTTCTGACATGCATTTTCCTTAAAGCTTACCAACACTGTCCTCCAGGTGACGCTAGCTGCTCACGGGAACAGCACTCAGTACAAGCAAGCAATATTATTGCACCATTTAAATTAATAAAGAAACAGATATGAGTTAGAAAATTAAAGCTGAAAAACTGACTTGGTAACACCAGCGTTCCTAGCTTTACACCTCAGAGGACCTGAAGCCAGGAGATGTTAAGTTTCAAGGTCACACAATGGTAGCATTGGATCTTCCCCTCAACCAGGCTTGCTCCACCTCCCAGCAGTCTACTTACCTGCCTCTCCAGGATAAGAGAATTCACTCTTCCCAAAAGCTCTAACTAAGGTTATAATATTAATAAAATGAGGACTGGGTAATCCAATTAATACTCATTAAGATTTAATCTACGAGGGTGGTAGACAGCGTGCCCTAGGTTCAATCCCCACCACTACAAAAAAAAAATTTAATCTACAAACATCAATTTAACAAGTAAAACACAAGAAACTGCTCTCCATTTGCCCATAAATATACTCCAGTAATTTAGATTGACAAAAGGGTTGGGGATTTAGCTCAGTGGAAGAGCACTTGCCTGGCAAGTGTAAGGCCCTGAGTTCGGTCCCCAGCACCGAAAAAAAAATAGAAAACAAATAGATTGACAAAAAAATGTAGTTAGGGGGGCGGGGCACAGCTCAGTGACAGGACACTTGCTTGGTATGTATGAGGCCCTCCCTGGATTTGATCCCCTGCACCAACAATTAAAAAAAAAAAAAAGTGTTAAGAAAAGCTGAACCACTTGCCAGCCAGCCAGCCAGCCATGGTGGCACTCAGGAAGCAGAGACAGGACAAATTGGAAGCCAGCCTGGGGTACACAGCAAGACTGTCTCCAAACAAAGAAACAAACAAAAAATTAATACAAGAAAAAGGCATATTGACCAAAAGGAGTTAAAGTGAGGAATGATGGTTCATGGCAATTCTAAAGACACAGAGCTTAAACTGGATTTTCAATGCTGAATGGTTCTTTAAGTCATGAATCATTTCAGACAGGGATCATGAATTCCCAACACACTGAAGGGTCCTTTGGTTTGCAAAATGCTACCTTTCTGCCTCACAGTAAATATGTGGACATAAGGAGCAAGCTACAAAGAGGGCTTCCAAGTGAGGAGAGGGGCTTTTTCCTCATGGAAAATTAAGCTTCGCGGCCCCTCCCAAGGAAATGCATTTGTACGGTCGATCTTGTTTCTGTAAAATTTGCAAAATTATACTTAGTTAAAAGTCTTTTTTTTTTTTTGGTGGTGGTATGGGGCTTGAACTCAGGGCCTACACCTTGAGCCACTCCACCGGCCCTTTTTTTGTCCTGGGTTTTTGAAGATAAGCGTCTCACAATTTGCCCTGGCTGGCTTTGAATTCTCCTGATCTCTGCCTCCTGAGGAGCTAGGATTACAGGCGTGAGCCACTGGCACTCCCAGAATTACTTAACAAGCTTAGACCCCAAACTTATCGGCTGTCCCCCGGTTGGGATGAAAAGTCCCTACATACAAGAGCATGTCATAATGCTGAAACTAGGATCACCAATGAATCAACAAATGTACATTGGTGTTCCTGGTTTCTAAGCACACCTGGTTTACATGTACAGCAAAGACACCACAGGACAGGTAACTCTCTCATCTGGGTAATCCTAAATATGGGTTTTTATTACATATTCTATCTGATATTAACATTAAAAGCCCTCAAAAGTTTTTTAAATGAGTCTACAATTTTAGGAACGTCTGGGATTGCAGTTTTTAATTTAAGAAATCTCTTCAAATGCCAGTCATAGGACATTATGAGCTACAATCAATCCACAGCAGTGACTCTTAACTTTAGCCAGCTAAAAAATTGCTTACAAACTAGTTAAAATACAGATTTCTGAGTTCCAACCCCCCCTTACAATCTCTGAATCTTTAGTGGGTCTGTGGTGATTCCAACAGGATCCTCTCCCAGGTGGTACACCAGACGAACTGATGGCCGCTGCTGGAGTTCTACCACTGTGTGACCTTGACACAGAGAAAAGTAATGCTCATTTAGAGACAACCTAAAATAACGTGGAGGGATGGACAGTGAACATGGTGGTGTCTAATCCCCGGTCCTTTGCCAGGGTGTGGCTGGGCACGACTCCTTCACCGGAAATCATGTTGCAGAATCCATTCTGGGAGGATCGCGAAGGCTCCCAGACAGGTTCGGCTCGCCCAGGAGTCACGTCTCATTTTCATCTATGGAACCTGGGGTTTCAAGATGGGGTCCCCACCCCCTCCTCACCCCACCCCCAGCTCTGGGGCTACAAGATGGGGTCCCCACCCCCTCCTCACCCCACCCCCAGCTCTGGTCCACGCGGAAGACTGCAGGGAAGGGGGGTGGTCTTTGCACACAAAGCCAGACCTGGGGGGTGCAACGCGGGAAGGTGGAAAACGCACAATTCGTGCAAAGGGAGCCAGCGATCGGAACTGCACAGGTTCCAGGTGGTGGCGGAGAAAACCAGGAGACAGGGCGCCACTCGCGAGGCGATTCTTTATTACAAGCTGATGAACGGCGGCGGGCGCCAGAGAGGTTGAGAGCCACCACCGCCCCCCACCCACACACCCCCCACTCCCTATTCCGCCCCAGGTTCGGCAGAACGGTCTAGAAGCCTAGAAACGGGCACGTGGCTTCCTCGTGCTTCCTCCCCTCCCCTGCCACGGCGGCGACCCCGCAACCGAGCCGCCCTCCCCGTGGAGACCCCACCCCGAGACCCGGCCGCAGGAAACGGCGGGGGGCGCCCGGCGAGCGCGGGAAAACGCCGGGTGGCCGCGCCCAGCTGGGTCATCGCGCGGGCCAGGAAGGGGGGACACCAACCACGCCACTGTCCTATGTGCTCTCCCACCCCACCACGCCGGGCCGGCCACCCGGACCCCCGGCGAGCTCACCGCCTTCATGGCGGAGGCCATGTCGTCGTAGCGCTCCGCCTGCTCGGCCAGCCGCGCCCGCTGCAGCAGCTGCTCTCGGTCCCCCATGTCGCTCACGGCTCCGCGTCGCCTGGCGCTGCGCTCTCAGCTCTCGGCTCGCTCGCTCCGCTCGCTCCGCTCGGCTCCGCTCGGCTCCGCTCCGCTCGCCTGTCCGTCAGCTCTCTCGGGTCGCCGCCGAGGCCGCCGCCGCCGCCGCCGCGCACGCGCACTGGCTCCGCACGCTGGCCGCTCGCGCCCTCTCGCTGGCTCGCCCCGCGCGCTGTGGCTCGCGCCGCCGACGCCGCCGAGGGAGGACAGGCGGCCGTGCGGGAGGGGGGGGAGGAGGAGGGAGACGAGAGCGGGGAGGGCGGAGGAAGGGGGGTGAAAAACGAGAGGCCGAGACAACGCCTGCGCAGTTAGGAGAGGCCGGAGACCGGGCGGGCGGGAGGGGGAGGGGGAGGGGGAAGGGCGGGCCCGCGCTAACGGTCTATTTCAAGGTGACGTCACCTACTATAAATAGCGGCCGTCGCCCCGCCCCGCCCGAGAGCCGCGCAGGCGCCCTGCGAGTGCTGCAGTTTACCGCCGCAGAGGTGGAGGTGGGAAGAGCCCCCGGGGCAGATTGCAGAGCCTCGAGCCGGGGGTTGGGTGATGGCGGCTGCACAGAGCAGTGGATTGTCATAGTTCCCACCCTGCAAGGTGACACTGTTCACGTTAGCGATCTGGCTTGAGAAGGGACCCCCCCCCCCAAAGCAAATAAATCTACCGAAGGTTTGAGAGAGGTAGGTCCATCCCTCCATCCTGTCCGCCTTAGGCCCAGCAGGGCGGTTCTGCCTCACGGTGCCACACCCTTTGCAGTTGGGTCTGCGCTGGCAGTGGCAGGGTCCAGTCCAGCCTTTGGGGACAGCTCCTCCCCCCCCCACCTTCCCACCCCAAAAACACCTTTGCACCCACCGGGCTGCAGGGTTGCGCTGCCACCCTGAGAAGTGGCCTTGAGCCTACTGTGTCTTCCAGGAGAAAAAGGCACTGGGTGAGTGACACACCTGTTAGGAGCAGTCCCAATGCCTGGCGTCTTATTTAATCCTCACAACCCACCACTGCGGTAGGCACAGCTGGGCTCCCTACTTTTCAAAGCAAAAATGCAAAGTGAGGTTAGTGACTTACTCAAGGTTACACGCATTTTGTAGGTGGAGGGAGCAAGCTGTGAGTTCTAACTCCGGTTGGACTTCCTCCCCTGGCAAAAAGGACACTAAGCCCCTGACATTCGATGCTGAGGATCTGCGGACTGAGCCTCCGGACCTTCGAGGAAAATCCCAATGAGAAAAAAGACCCAGCCGGGTGCTGATGGCTTCATGCCTGCAATCCTAGCTACTTGGGATGCTGAGATTAGGAAGATCACAATTAAAGGCCAGCCCAGGCAGGTAATTTGTGAGACCTCCATCTCCAAAATAACCAGATCAAAATGAACTGGAGGTGTAGCTCAAGCAGAAGAGCACCTGCCTTGCAAGCCCAGAACCTGGGGTTCTGAGTTCAAACTCCAGTCCCAGGGGAAAAAAAAAAAAAAAAAACATGGCCCAACTGAAAGGTGTAACAGGCCCAGGACACACAAGAGAAGGGGTCTTGTATGTGCTGAGAATTTGATTGAGCACCTATTGTAGGTTCAACATCTGGGCAGATGTAGCCCCTTCCTCCAAGATGCTGAACTCTAAGTACAGAAGAGTAAGTAAGCAGGACACTGAAGGAGCTAAGAGTGAGAAAAAAATATCAGGACATGGGTACAGCATGAGCAAAGGCTGTGCAAACAGAAACAAAATCTGGGGGAGGAAGAGAAAACAGGTCCAGCCGTGGGAAATGAGGTTGGATAAAAGGAAATTGTGGAGTGTTTTAAATGGTAGGCTGAAAGCCTCCTTCCTTTCAGGCCTCCTTCTCCCTGCTGTGATGCTAAAATGAGAGCCTAGGAGCTGGGCGTGGAGGCTCCCATTTGTAATCCCAGTATTTGGGAGGCTGAGGCAGGAGGATCACAAGTTTGAGGCCAGCCTAAGCTATGTAGGAAGAGCTTGTTTCAAAAAATAGTAATAATAGGCTGCATTGTGGCTCCCAGCTAATCCAGAGGCAGAGATTGGAAGGATAGCAGTTCGAAGCCAGTCCAGGCCAAATGTTAGGAAGACCCTATCACAATCAAAAAACTAGGTGTGGTGGAGTGCACCTGTGGTTCCAGCCATGAGAGAGGCCACAGGTAAGAGGATCTTGGTCTGAGGTGAACGCTAGGGCAAAAATCGAGATCCTACCTGAACAGTAACCTATAAAAACAGAAAGGAGCTGGGTGCTAGTGGCTCATTCCTGTAATCCTATCTACTTAGGAGGGTGAGATCAGGAGGATCCAGGTTCAAGGCCAGCCTGGGCAAAGAGTTTAAGAGACCCCATTTCCAAACTAACCAGAGCAAAGTGGACTGGAGGTGTGGTCCAAGCAGTAGAGCACCTGCTTTGCAAGTGTGAAGCCCTGAGTTCAAACCCCAGTCCCATGGCGTGGTGGGAGTGGGGGTGAGGGTGGCAAGCGAAAGGGGCTTAGAGGTGTGGCTTAACTGATAGAGCTCTTGCCTAGCAAGTAGGAGGCCCTGAGCTCAAACCCCGGTACCTCCCCCTAAAAAACTAGTAATAAAAATTTTAAAATAAAGTGAGGACCAAATTACCAATGAAACAAGATTTGAGTGAGGGCCCGGGAAAAGACCGTGTGGGCCAGGCTGGCCTCGAATTTGTCATCCTCTTGCCTTGAGTGCTGGGATTACAGACGTGCACCACCATGCCAGATCTCCAAGATGCTTTGAAGAGTCACCTTTGCTGGTGGAATTGAGGTTAGCAAACCAGGCTGATTTTTCCCCTAGTGGATATCTTAAAACAGCACCATAGATAGTAATTAATCACACACACACACACACACACACACACACACACACCCTCCATGAAGATGGAGAAGAGAGTGAGGCAGAGGGAGGAAGCTCCTAGGTTTTTAGCTCTTAGAGGGCTTACAGCCCTTCAGCTTTTCTGACCATGTTGGACTGAGATTTTCAAACAGGGAAAACTAGGTGGAGCTGAAGCATTCTGAATAATTGACTTTGACCCATGCTACAATTTGCATATATCCCAGGAAAAGCACATTAAGGAAGAGTCATCATTGCAGGTGCAGCACTGTTGGGGGGTTGCACCCCAATAGCAGGTGTTTAGTTCTCCTATCTTAGGCCTTTTTTTTTTGGTGGCAGACATGCTCTTACTGCTAGCAAACTATTTGCCCAGAGCTGGCTTAAAACCATGATCCTTCTGATCTCTGCCTTCTGAGTAGCTGGGATTACAGGCGTGAGGCACTGGTGGTACATGGGATTTGAACTCAGGGCCTCACACTTGCTAGGCAGGTTCTCTACCACTTAGGCCCTTTTTGTTCTGTGTTTTGCTCCTCCACCTTCTGCCATGGGGTGACACAGCACTCACTGGAGGCCGAGCAGGTTCCTATGACATTGGACTTTCCTGCTTTCCGAATTGCAGGGCAAGTTTCTTTTCTTTATAAATTTCCCAGGCTCTGGCATTTTGTTACAAGAGCACGGAATGGCTAAGAATGGCTTAATGGATACTGTTTCTCCCACGAAGCTTTTCTTTCCTTCTCACCAAACTTCCCCTTCTCTTTCATCCACCCCTCAGTCCTGTGTTCTCCAGCTCTGTCCATTTTTCCACCTAATATGGCTTCCATCGTGGCCACCAGTTTTTAAGCTCTAGCACAGTTCGTACCCCTTACTTCTCTGGCCATCTGGGGACAGCTGCTGCCTGTCCCTCTGTGTCTGCTCTCCTCCTACCTTCTATGACCCTGAACTCTCCTGGCTCCCCGCTTCTGCAGCTCCAGTGCTCCTCTTCTGTGTTCTGTGTGAACTGGTCTTCTGGCCTACCTGAAGTGCTAGTATTCCTCAGAGCTCCATGCCAGGCCTCCTCCTCCTCCTCCTCCTTTTTTGGTGGCACTAGGTTTGAGCTCGGCTTCACCCTTGCAAATCAGGCACTCTACCACTTGAGCCACAACTCCAGTCCTTTTTACTCTAGTTGTTTTGGAGATGGGGTCTCATAAACTATTTGCCTGGGTTGGTCTCAAACCAAGATCCTCCTGATCTCAGCCTTCCAAATACCTAGGACTACAGTGTGAGCCAATGGCTTCAGGCCCTCTCCTTACTTTACCTTATCCTGGGCAGCCCAGCCTACACCCACTCTTAGGGGAAAATGACCATCTGCCATGTTCCCAGTACTTTGTAAAAATGGGCATATTTTTTTCTTCATGATACCCCTGAAAGGTAAGTACAATTCTCATTTCTATTTTACAGATGAGGAACCTGGCTCAGAGATGTTCCGTGGCTTAAACAAAGTCACACAGCTGGAAACCGGCACAGCCAGATTCACAAGCCATCAGAGTCACAAGGGAGGGGTAATTCAGACTGTAAGAAGCACACACAACCCCGGTCCCCCTGCCCTGAATCCTGCACACTCTTACCAGCATGCACCCTTCTTCACTGTCCTGGGCAGACAGTTGCCAATTTCTCAAAGCCTATAAAGACCAGGTGACTAGTCAGGTGCTGGTGGCTCACGCCTGTAATCCTAGCCACTTGGGGGCTGAGATCAGGAGGATCCTGGTTCGAGGCCAGTCTAGGCAAATTATTCACTAGACCCCCATCTCCAAAATAACCAGAACAAAATTGATTGGAGGTGTGGCTAAAGTGGTGGAGCACCTGCTTTGCAAGTGGGAAGCCCTGAGTCAAACCCGACCCTCCCCCGCAAAAAAAATCAGGTGACTGCCTGGGACAGGTCACCTACTCCCAGGGCTCTTAGTTCCTATCAATAAACATGGCCTTTGAGCAATTCCTATTAGAGCTCCTGATCAAGATGAAGGTGACAAACAGTAAACATACTGAATTGCACCAAGACCCAAAGTCAGTCCCCCAGCTCAGGGGCCAGGTCTGTGTCTTCACTTAGTACAGGTCTCACTCAGGCATCAGAGCAAAACCCCACCCTGCTTCCTGATGGGGTGTGTGCACTACATTGGCAGAAAAGAATGGGATTCTAGACTTGGGTTCAAATCCTGATCTGTCAGTTTACCATCTGAGTACCCCTGGCAAACCACTTATAAAATGGGCCTAACCACACCGGTCTCTGAGGGTTGTTGTGGAGACCAGCAGGTGCACGCTGTAGTACCCGCATGGTGCCAGCATAGCAAAGGCACCAGCTATCATAACTATCTAATAATTCCTTGCTTCATCCCAACCAGAGCCAGTGGTAATGACTGGATTTCCAAAGCATTGTCAGAACCTTCTACTGGAGTCCAGTATGAATAGGTGACCCAGCAAAGGCATGTCCTGTTTTGGTTTTGTTTGTCTCAGATACTCTGGGACATTCTGAGCTGCCTGAGAAGTCTGGGCACCAAGAGTCGTTTTACAAAGACCTGATCTTGTGTCAGAAGACGGCATGCACATCATTGGCACGGTTACCATCTTGAACTGGAGGGGCCACCTGCACACAAATTAGTGTCATCTAGACAGGATTTTTCTTTTTCCCCAGCGCAGGCTGCCTGCTGCCAAGGTGATCTTCACCAATCCCAAGCCACTGTCAACAATAGCATCAACAGCTTTTGCCGGGTGCTGTGGCTCAGGCCTGTAATCCTAGCTACTCAGGAGGCAGAGATCAGGAGGATCACGCATGGTTGGAACTCAGCCCAAGCAAATAGTTCCTGAGACCATATCTTGAAAAACATCCATCACAAAAAAGGGTTGGTGCAGTGGCCTAAGGTGCAGGTCCTGGGCCCTGAGTTCAAACACAGTATCAAAAAAAAAAAAAAAAAAAAAGAAAAGCTCTTGTTTATAAATCACTTACTCTTTTCCTGGCTTGCGGGTAAAGACTGTACCCCCAGATTTTATCTCACCAAATCTCCTTTGGTTGTTACCAACAACGTATGGGTAAGGAAATAGAAACTTACGGCCACCCAAGCCTCCCAGCCACACACACACCTGTTTTCTGCCATTTGTTTTGAACCCAGTGTCCTTGACCTAAGCACACAGATTTTAAGATTGTGTGTGGTGCTGGGAATTGAACCCGAGGCCTCAAGCATGCTAAGCAAGTGCTCTACCACTGAGCCACATCTCCACCCTGCCCTATCACTCTTTCAAAGCCTGTCTTGTTAGCAGCACCCAAGGCAGCTGTTAGCATTAAGAAGTGTGAAAATGTCCTGGTAGCAATCTGTGATCTGCTTCTGTGAGCTGGTGGAGCTCAGAGTCCCCCTCCTTCCCAGTCCCCACCTCCCTCCTGCTTATTCAGAGAAACTGGGCTCTGGGAGAGAAAGCTTTATGCCACATAACCATGAGGGCAGAAAAGGTTTTTGCTGCAGTGCTGCAGAAGGTAGGGAAACTTCTGTCTCTTTTTTTCTTCTTATCTATTTTTTTAGACAAGGTCTTGCTATGTAGCCCAGGTTGACCTCAAACTCTCCATCATCATGCCTCAGCCTCCTGAGTGCTGGGATTACAGGTATGCACCACCATGCCCCAGCTTGAATTTGTGTTTCTTAGAATTTTCTAGCTCCTTTGGCTTGAATCTCCTGGATAATTGCCGTCAGCTTCTGTGTGGTTCTTACTAGGTGGGCCCTAGTGGGAGGCACACAGGGCCCCAAGCTCTGCCTCTGAGCCTTGATGTTTCTTATCTGTGACATGGGGGCAGGGAGAGAGGGCCTGGTGTATGAAAGTCTCCAGTGTTTCACCATTGGAAGATCAAACAAAGAACATGACAACTCAAGAGGGATGTTTCAGAAGAGACATGTCAGGCTGGGGTGTAACTCAGTGGTAAAGCTAGCATGTACACAGCCCTGGGTTCCATCCCCAGCACTGAAAAAAAAAATTATTAGGACCATGTCAATGAAGTGAAGAAGGAAATGAACTCCTACTCCATAGCAAGCCATGGGCAGGATTTTGCCAGTCCATCCATTCCCACCTGGCCAAGGTGAGATCAATAGTATTCCCATTTTGCAGGTGAGGAAACTGAGGCCCAGGGAGGCTAAATGTTTGGCCAACTGCATCCCAAAGACCAAGGAGCAGGAATCTGGCTCCAGACATCCTCCATCTTTACCATTCTTACCACTGTTGCCCCCGACCTTCTGACAGTCTCTGTACATCCTTTTAGTTGTTGGGCTTTGACATAACCATCCTCAGCTGTTGCTTGATCCTGTACCCTGGGAAGTAAAGGAGAGGTCACTGAGTTTTCACCAAGGTTCCCTACCAGGGAACTGTGCTTAAAAATATAAACAGCTTTTTCTCCCCGAGGATGATAGTAGGAGGTAGACAGACCTGTGCCACCTTCTGGCTTCTTCCAGATGATGCCATCAGGCTGGCCCTGACTCAGGAAATAGCCATCAGGAAGGACCAAAGCCACATGAGAAGGTGACTTTGAGGGGCTGGGCTTCGCAACACAGCACTGAGCTGCCCCTGGGGTCAGAGGTAGTACCTTCCCCCTGAAAGATTTCAGCTGCTCCACCTGGCTCTTCAGCACCTCACCTGACCCAGCTTTCTAAACTGGTCACCCACTCCCTGGACATCTGGGGACCCTCCAGGTTCCTAGACTCTGGCCACGAATTTCTACCAACTAAAATGTCTTTTCTCATCCCCCAACTCTTTCTGTTCCTTACATCCTTCGATACCCAGCTTACATCTTATTTTCTTTCTTTGAGACACAGTCTAGCTATATAACCCAGGCTAGCCTCAAACTATTTTTTTTTTTTTTGCAGTACTGGGATTTGAACTCCAGGCATACACATCAAACCACTCTATCAGCTCTTTTTTTGTAATGGATTTTTTTCAAGATAGGGTCTCAAGAACTATTTGCTCTAGTGGGCTTTGAAATGTGATCCTCCTGATCTCTGCCTCCTGAATGGCTAGGATTACAGGCATGAGCTACCAGTGCCCAGCTGGCTTCCAACTCTTGATCCTCCTGCGTCTGCCTCCTGAGTACTGTGATTATAGGTGTGTGTCACCACAGCCTGAAATGCTTACCTCTTTTTTATTTTTATTTTGATGATACTGGAGTTTGAACTCAGGACCTCATGCTTACTAGGCAGGCACGCTTGCCACTCCAGCAGTCCTTGTGTGTGTGTGTGTGTGTGTGTGTTTGTGTGTGAGAGAGAGAGAGAGAGATGGGTTTTATTCAAGATAGGGTCTCACAAACTATTTGCCCGGGGCTGGCTTCGAACCATGATCCTCCTGATCTCTGCTTCCTGAGTAGCTAGGATTATGGGCATAAACCACCGGCGGTTGCCAAATCTTACCTTCTTGAAAGTGCCTTCTCTTGGGCAGGATCACAGCTCAGTCACAGCTACTTGGGAGGTGGAGATCGGGAGGATTTCGGGTAGAGGCCATAAGACCTCCATCTCCCATCCAAGTACTAACTAACCAGACCCCACCCTGCTTAGTTTCTGATATCAGACAAGAGTGTGTGTGTACAGGGAGGTTTGGCCACAGATGAGACCCCAATCTCAATCAATAAGCCAGGCATGGTGCCACACACCTGTCATCCCGGGAGGAGGCTGTAGGTAGGAAGATGGCGGTCCAAGCTGGCCCAGACAAAAACGCACAACCCTAGCTGAAAAATAACTAAAGTAAAAGGGTTGGAGGAGTGGCTCAGATAGTAGAGCACCCGCTTAGAAAGCATGAGGCCCTGAGTTCAAACCCCAGAAGCACCAAAATAAAAAAAAAGGTAAGCCACAGCCTGAAGTCATGTGTTCAGCCCACCACACATCTCTGAGCCTCAGTTTCTCTGCTTGCAAATAGGGGTAAGAATTCCTGGGAGGGTGAAGAAATTATATAAAGGCTGGGAGCTGTTTTCATCCCTGCTATCTCTGAGCTCTGTGCACTTCCCTATGCGTGCAGACCTGTGATCGGCCATCGATGGCTTCATTTACTTCTCACAGTGACACTGTCAGTCACTAGCTAGGAACCAGGTTCTGAGCTTCGATACTATGCCCTGTGCCTGAAATCCTTTTCTTCCTCATTCCCTACCTAATTCGGCCTCCTTCTTCAGTTTCCAGCATTAACCTTGGCTCCCTCTGGAAAGATTCCTTGGTCTCAGGCTAGGGTGGGGACCTACCCTGGCCTGCAGTGCTGGGTTTCTTTCTCCCTTTGCATGCAAAGACATTGTCACTCTCACAGCTGCACTCCAACCCCCCCACCCCACCCCCCAGAGCCTGGTATGGTGCTTGGTATACAGCAGGTGCTCAGCAAATACTTGCCAAGTGACTAAAAGCATCAGTATGCTACTGAGGCCTGGAGAAGCCAAGGAGATCAGAAAATGCCTGTTGGCCTCCTGCCACAAGTCACATTAAGCAGCAACTTCTCCAAGTCCCCACAGGCAACCTCCTGGGACACCATTGGAGCCAGCTGAATTCCAGTCACTGCTTCACCTTGGGAAGGCAGCCGCAGCCCTAACGGAGCAGGAATTGATGTCACAGTGGTGCCAGAAGCTGCCCTTTTAATATTTAATGTGGCCTTCACTGCGGCAGAACTGCAGCAAAAAGGGCTGGAAGGGGCCACCTTGAGTCTCCATGGGGTCGTGGGGAGGGCACAGATATGAAAGGACTTCATAAACCAGAATGGCCCCAGGAGAAGGGCATTGTGTCAGCCCTCATTAGTCCCTGGCTTAACTCAGAAAGAGCCAGGGTAGCATGTGGCCTGCAGTGGGACAAGAAGACTGCTGACTGAGCCCAGGCCTACATAACCAGGGGATTAGGGAATCCCAGAGATACTTCCCGGAGACGGTGTGAGGGCAGAGGACTGGCGCCAGGTCCGTCCTGCGCAGCTGTGTGACCCGGGAAGCAAGTAGACCACTGAGCCTCAGATCCCTCATCTGAGCCAAGGAGGATTAAACGAGCTGAGGGGTGTAGACGGCCCTGCTCAGCACCTAGTGTCCCCAAACCAGGTGTGGGACCCGAGCTAGAGCAAAGAGATGTGGGGGACCCTTCACACATTCACTGGCTAGAGAAATGGTGGAAGGAAAGATGAAACAAAAAGGCACAGTTTTCACCTTTGGACTTTTTACCACAGTGACAAAGGATGGACAGAGAGTCCCCAAGGTGGCAGAAACAGAAGGACCTCTTTTCTGATCCACTGAGCCCTTTGTTTGACAGGTGAGGACTCTGAGGGTCCAGGAGGAAGCAAACCAGTCCAGACTCACACAGAAGACATGCCAGCACTGCTCCTGCCCGCTGGGACTTCATCAGCTGAGGGGCTGAAGTGGCAGACACAGTGACATGCTCCCATTTTCTAATGGGGACCTTTATCTACTTCTCTCATCAGGACAGTAGCAGGAAGCTTATTCTCCCCAACACACACACGTGCCCCCCTTGGTTTTCTTCCACTCTCTTTTCCCACAAATCCTAGGAGCTCCCCCAAATGTAAATCCTGGTCATATCATCTCCCTGCCTAAAGCCTGTCTGTGATCCACACTGAGGGTAGCCAGAGAACATCTAGGAGGCCCAGTTCCAGCGGAATTTCAGACAGTGAATGATACTTCGTATAGGAAAGTTCCAGGTACTGCACGCACAAACTCATACTAAAAAAAGACTCCTTATGTATCTGAATTTCACGTGGAACAGGACAACCTGGATTTTTAGTCCCTAAATAAATCTGGCAGTCATATCGTAATCACCCTCAGGAAAAAGGTTAGCATCTTCAGTTGACCCACAAAGCCACATTAGCCCAAGGTCATCCCTTTCCTCTCTTTCACACAGACTCTTGGCTTCAAATAAAACTCTTCACCTTTTTTGTCTTGGGGGCAGCTAGTGGGTTGAGACAGAATCTCACTATTTAGTTCAAGCTGGCCTCAAACTTGTCATAGCCCAGGCTGGCCTCAAACTCATGAACTTCCTGTCTCAGCCTCCCCAGTGCTGGGATTGCAAACCTCCTTGGCTCTCCAGGTCTGGGTAGAACCTTCTCTGGAGGTCCACAGTGCCTTGGACAAGTCTCTGTCTGCCCTGTTTTCTTGGCACAGATTAGGAGTTCAACAAACTTTATTGCACTGCATTGCTGAATTTCACAGCCTCTCACACTTGCCCTGCCAACAGTTTCCCCTCCTTCAGCCAAATCTATGTGTCTTCCCCAGCCCTGTTGGAATCTCCTGTCCTCTGGGCCTTCCCTGGACCCCACAATCCTCCCAGCTCTTTCCTTTGGAGACTCACTTGGCGTGTCTTATCCACAATCCTGAGTAATCTTTTTGCCTAGATCTTTTCAGCAAGATCAGAAGCTCTCAGACTCCTCCTGTGACCCACGGTGCTAAGCACTGCACCTTTCTGCCAGATGAAAAACTGACCTGAAGGTGTCCTCTATGCCTCTAAAGGAGCCTCTTTCTTTCTTTCTTTCTTTTTTTTTTTTTTTTTTGCAATACTTGGATTTGTACTCAGGGTTTACACCTTGAACCACCAGCCCTCTTTTGTGATGGATTTTTTTGAGATAGGGTCTCATGAACTATTTGCCCAGACTGGCCTCAAACCATGGCCTATAAAAACTCTTGCATTCTTTATCACTGTAAAGGAGGCAGGGAGACATCCTTAGTTCCCAGTTTACAGAATAGGAAAACAAAGAACTGGAGGAACTCATCGGTCAAGGTTCAGGTCTCTAGACCCCATCCTACCTCAGGGCCTTTGCACCTGCTACTCCTGTGCTAGGAATATCCTAAATATTTGCACACGAATGGTGTGGCAAATTAAAGAGAGTCACAGATACTTTGCTGCTTTTCCTACCGAAAGGGACTATCTCAGGCTGGCAGAGTGGCTCGAATGGTGGAACACCTGTCTAGCAATTGTGAGGCCCTGAGTTCAAACCCCAGTACCACCAAAAATTTTTACAAGAACCATTTCCTCCTCTTCCCCTTGGCTCCCAGCTGTCTTTGTGACTTGCTTTAGCAACAACGTGGCAGAAGTGATCCTGTATTTAAGTTTAGAATCCTAGGTTTCGTGTGACTTTTCTGACTCTGTCTTTACCTTTTTGGTGAAGGCAGGGAGTCTAGGCAACCAGAGGGACATATGACAGGTTACTGAGGAGCCCCAGCCAACAGCCAGCACCAGCTTCCAGATGTGTGCATAAGGACTTCTTAGACCTTCTAGCCCTCCAATGCCTCCAGCTAGATGCGGCTGCAGGTGTTACCATGAGAACCAGGCAGAGAGAGGAACCACCCAGGCCAACCTCAGACTGGCAGCCATGCTAAACCATTGTTTAGAGGTTGTCACGTGGCTACAGGTGACCGATACGATTGCCTCCTCACTCAGGTGTCTGCCAGATGTCACCTCCTCCGAGAGGCCCTTCCTGACGATCCACCCCATTCCTCCTCATCCTCCACTGCCCATCCTCCATCCCACCTCCAGTCTGTCTGTTCCATTGTCCTGGTTCAGCCTGTGCAAGGCTTTTATCACTCTCTGCAATCATGATTGATTTACTCATGGACTTTTTGTCCCTCTCCTCCACCAGGCTGCTGTTTCCCTGAGGCCAGGGACTGTAACAGTCTGTTCCCTACTGCCTCCCTAGTGCCTTGGAGGATGCCCTGGGTTCTGGCACAGAGAAGACACCTCCAATTGTTTGCTTACCCCACGCTGATGTGGCATTTAGAGGAGCAGAGTGGCAGGTGTGAGTTCTTGCCCAGTCATGTCCTCCCACACCGATGCTCTTGGAAGGGTAGAGAAGGGAAGGCTCTGTTTTCAGGGACAAGAGCTTCAGGGAGCCCCAGGAAAGGAAACTGCCACACTGTCACAACGTCCATTTTCAACAGAGACAGAGTCAGAGCCAGGAAGTCACTGGGGTTTCTTTCCTTGACTTCAGCTGCTGCCAGCCACGCCCTCCTACAAGATCAGAAAGCTGAGAAATTGTTGGGGACACTGAGTTACAGCCTGGCACTTTCCCATACCAAGAAATTGACCCACAACCACAGCCTCCATTGAGGGGAAAACGCCCACCCACTCAAGAGCAAAAGAATCAGCTTTTAGACTTCTCTCCGAGCTAGCAGAGCACTGCTGTGGTGCAAGGCATGTGGCCTCACCCTGGAATTCTGCCTCCCCTGCTGTGTGACCTTGGGCCAGTTCCTTCACCTTCCTGGGCACCAGTTTCTAGAGCTGTGAACAGCAGACAGTGGGACTGGAGGTGTGGCTCAAGTGGTAGAGCGCCTGTCTTGCAAGCACAAAGCCCTGAATTCAAACCCCAGTACCATCAAAAAAGAAAAAGAGTAGATAATGAAGACCTAAGATTACAGATGAGAATCCAATGAGACCATGCATGCTTGGCACAGCTTGGCACAGGGTCAAGCACAAACAAACAGTTCATCTGATGGTACTTAGTTGAACTTCTATTTCCTCACACGTCTGCATATGGGGGAAAGGGAGAGAGAACAGGGTTTGCAGTTAAACACAGACCCTTCCTGGGGACCAGGGTCACATTTAGGAGTTGCCTGGCAGGGACTAGAGTTATGGTGTGGAACGCTTGGTGCATATCCAAGTGCCAATTCTCTCTCTCTCTCTCTCTCTCTGTTTTCTGGGGATCAACCCCAATCATCTTATGCAAACACTCCACCACTGAGCTCCATCTCCAGCCTCAAAGTGCTTAATGCAAATTGGCTTCTCTAACAGACAAGAGGACCCCTCAGACCAGTCTTCCTGGGGACCCCCAGGCATAGATAAGTCAATGGTTTAGAGGTATAGCTTTGACAAGGGTTCAGGAAGGTTGGAGGCCTAACTCTCCCACTAATGTGGTATCTACCACAGACCAAAGCATTTGCCCTCTCTGAGATCTGGTAACCTCATCTATAAAACTGATCATTCATTCCTGACTTGCAAAACTCCTACAGTTGTTGAGATGATCAGAAAATTTAAGTGGAGAAGTGTTTTGAAAAGAATTCACCGATGAAAAAAGGGAGATAGTTACTAAAACCAGAAGGACCCCTGGATTCTCCAGCAATGACCCTCTATAAAGAATTTAAGTCAGGTTCACAATTCATTTTGGGCAAATGAATTGACTTCTAGCACTGCCAGAGATTGGTTTTCTTCTGTGGGAGAAGGAACCCTGGGGAAAAAGAAAGGCTAGGCAGATGCTGCAAAGATACAGGACAGATAAAGTGAGGAGAAGCCCAAAGCCCACCAGCCTCCCAAAGCCCTGGACACCACAGATGGTCCCCCACCTGACTGTGTGCTTAGTTGGGGGGCTATCTGGCTCCCTTTCCAACCCTCTGGATCTCAGCCCAACCCAGGTAGATCGTGACTCAGGTCATTCTGCAGAGACTGGTCCCTCTGCCTCTGTTGCCATGGTGCTGCAGCACAGGCTGACCAATCAGGAAGGAGACCCATATCTGAGCTTCTGTTGCTAAAGCCAGAGCAGAAAGTCGTAGCCAATGGGAAGGGCGGCAGAGTGGAGCCACCATGGAAACCTCAGCAGTGAGGTTCAAACTGTGTTTTTTGTCTCTAGGTCTCATTTGCAAGGGTGGGCTGGGCTTTTTCTGCATTTTTAAAAAATTTTTGTAATTTTAATTTGTATTGGCAAAGAGCATCTTGCAGGTCCAGGAAGACATTCAGGAGTCACAGCAGTGGTACATGACAAAGGGCATCTTTAAAGAGTCAGAAAGGAGCCCAGCTTAGTAGAGCAAGTCTTCAGATGTCTCTCCATCATTTTCCCCTCCCCCAAATGCACAGCAACACCTGCCCAGAGCCCAGAGCCCCCCACAGCTAACCCAGTCCCCTCCGTCCTGCTCCCAATGTAAGAAAAGTAACATAAGACTCACTCCAAAAGGAAATTCCTGTTCTATAACTTGTGTTTTTGAACAAACTGCTAACTCCTCCTCCTGTGGGCAGTATGCAGGAGGACAGAGTCAAGGGTCAGACATGGATGCTTTCCTCTTCTGCAAAATTAGAAGAGTGGACCGATGAGCTCGGTGGTCCCTTTCAGAGATACTCTTAGTGCTTTCTCACCTTCAGGCTCTGGACAGAGTGCATGAACAAGAAGTAACCTCCCGAGGGAGGAGCTATATAAATAGTGCCATAGACATGACTGGTTTTGTGCCCTTAAATTGCCAGGCTAGGAGGGACAGCCATTCTAGAGTTCGGGCCCAGATGGGTGAAGCTGCATCCCTGATGTCACACAGCTTCTCTGGATGCAGAGCCAGAACTGACAGCCCAGCTCCCTTTAATCTGCAACGGACAATGTCCTAAGCCAGTCTTTCACCCTTGGGCAAGCAATCCGGGTGCTGGGCACTCTTTTTATTTTGCAGACAAAGGCATAATAACAAGTGCAAAAGAAAACGTGTCTCACCCTTTCCCCCTCCCTTCCGGCTTTCACTCTGTTGCCTGGCGACAGTTCTATCCTTCCTGGAAAACCCATTGCTCAATCATGTCAATTTCATCTCCTAAATGCCCCCCAAGGGTTGGTAGAGTGGCTCAAGGGATAGAGTGCCTGCCTAGCAAGCACTAGGCCCTGAGTCAATCCCTAGTACCAAGAAAAAAAAATCTTAACTAAATGACACCCCCAGTCCACCTACCCTTCCCCTCCCCCACTACTTCCCCGGTCCAAGATTCTGTCATGAATTTCCTAGACAATTACCTCAGGCCTTTGGCATTCACACTTGCCCATCCCATCTGCATAAAATACATAGATAACACATCTTTAAAAAATACAAATCAGATCATGTCATCTGCTGCTTGCTTACATCTTCTGGGGATATGAATGTAAAAATCTTCCAGGCACCAGTGACTCACGCCTATAATCCTAGCTACTTGGGAGGCTGAGATCAGGAGGATTGTGGTCCAAGGCCAGCCTAGACAAATAGTTTATGATACCCATCTCCAAAATAGCCAGAGCAAAATGGACTGGGGGGTGGCTCAAGCAATAGAGGACCTGCTTTGCAAGCTCGAAGCCCTGGGTTCAAACCCCAGTCCTACCAAAACAAAAAATCTTTAGCATGCTCAAAAAAGCACCCCATCACCAAACTTCCTCCCCCCAACTTTATCTTACCCTTGTATGTGCACTTCCCTCTCTTTCCCCCAATTCTTCTAGTTAATCCTGATCACTTTTCTCAATTCAATGGTCACTTCCTTGAAGAACCTTTCCTGATTTCTAGGACCAACTCAGATTGCCAGTGACAGGCTCTCTTAGCATTTATCATGACTGCAATCTTGTGCTTTTCTTTGTGATAATTTGATTTATCTCTTTGAGCCCCCTGCCACACTTTACGGGACAAGCATAATGAGGGCAAGTGACTTTGTCTTGTTCTCTGCCAGAAACATATGGATGGATGGATGGGTGGATGGATGGATGGGTGGATGGGTGGATGGGTGGATGGGTGGATGGGTGGATGGGTGGATGGATGGATGGGTAGATGGGTGGATGGGTGGGTGGGTGGGTGGAAGGGTGGATGGGTGGATGGGTGGATGGGTGGATGGGTGGATGGGTAGATGGATGGGTGAGTGGATGGATGGATGGGTGGTGCACAAGAGTAGGAATGGATGAGTAGATGGATACATAGATGGATGATGGATGGATGGGTGTATGAGTGGATATATGGATAGACGGAAAAAAGGATAGATAGATACGCATGGATGAATCAGTGGATGGGCAGATGGATGGATGGATGGATAGATGGGTGGATGATTGGATATGGGTATCTGGATGGGTGTACGATGATTGGTTGCTCCCATTTTGCCCAGCTTCCATAGATTTATTCTAATCCTATCTCTCTCTAGCCTGTGGCTAGTCAATCTTCCCCTATTCATTCAATATACACCATGCATCTCTGATGTGCCAAGAATGTACCCAAAATGCTGTGCAAACCCAAGGAAAGAAGGATTTCCATCCCTTGAAACTTGCATAATAACAATAATTATTTCCTATTAACACTTATTACTCTATGCCAGAACCCACTGTAGGCTGGCCTCCTGGGAAGCTCCCCCTTCTTCTACATATCCAGTAGAACCTGGAAACCTGGCAGTGTCTCAAGGTATAGTTGAGGTGTCACCTGCTCCAGGAATTCCTCCCTGATCATCTCACACCTGATCTCCCATCCTCACCACTGCCCAACATATGTCTGGGGCACTCTTTTGTGTGTGTGTGTGACACTGGGGTTTGAACTCAGGGCCTCACACTTGCTAGACAGGTGCTCTTACTGCTTGAGCCACTCTACCAACCCTTTTTTTGTGATGAGTTTGTTTGCGAGATAGGATCTCACGGACTATTTCGCTGGGGATGGCTTCAATCCTCCTGATGTCTACCTCCTGAGTGGCTGGGATTACAGGCATGAATCACTGGTGCCCAGCTTGTCTGGGGCACTCTTCTTGACCCTTGACCTGCTTTACATTACCTGTAGGTCCCCATTATCTGTGGGTCTCTTCCACACCACTAGACTATAAGGAAACTCTCTTGATACTGATACACATCTCACAGAAGACTGGGCAGGGCATTTCACACACACTCTATCTCTTAATCCTCTGTGATGCTGTGGTGCTAGGGATTAAACCCAGGGCACGCAGATACTCTACCATGGAGCTACATGCCCAGCCCAGCCCCATTTTACATAGCGAGAAACCGATTTTTGTCCAAATAATAAATGGTGGAATTGGTGCTAAAATCCAGGTCTGGTTGAATCCTGTGAGGTAGGGTCTCACAGACTGTTTCCCCGGGGATGGCTTCAATCCTCCTGATCTCTACCTCCTTGGTTAAGGCCAAGATGCTCAACCAGTATTCCCAGGCCAGAACAGTCTCTCTAACAGCCTGGCGATGGATGC